CTTTGTTTCCCCCATGGGAGGAGTCCCTGGACACCACAACCTCCTAAGCTCCACCAAAGGAAGCCAATGGACACCACAATGCCATAGGCTCCTCCTCCAGAGTAGCACCTGGACACCACACCATCCTATGCTCCACCAAGGGAGGAACCAATGGTTACCACTATCCCATGGGCTCCTCCTCCAGAGGAGCCCATGGACACAACACCAACCTACACTCGCCCTCCAGAGGAGGCAATGGACCCTTCACCCCCTGTTTCCAGCATAGTCCATGGAAATGTCAACCATCTCCTGCCCTCTGTTTGCCTCCCACTGGTCCCAGGGGCAGTTTTATGCCTGGCCTTCCCACCTTTCCTTGCATCTTCATACCCAGTTTCCCAGCACCTATGGATATAGACCCTCCCGCGTGACCCTTCCTCCCTCCCCTCCAGGACATGGCACAACTCTGCCCCCAGGCAGCTCCTTTCATGGCCTCCAGCTGGCTCCTCGCCACACAAGAGTCTTATTTAATATTAAACACCATACTCGTTCTGTTTTTTGTGTCTGTGCTCTGTAGATCCAGTGTGAGAAATGCTGGCTTGGTGAGTGCTGACAGGAGTCAGATCCTAGGGGAAAATGTTCCTGTGGTGCAGAAACAGGGGCTGGAGGGTTGGGGGGCTAGGGAGTAGAAGGAGCCAAAGGCCATAATGACTCCTCCTGAGCAGAAAAGCTGTGGCTGATGGGGCCAGCACCTGTGTCAGCATAGTGGGTGAGCTGCGGCCTGCAGTGCTGGCATCCCATATGGGTACTGGTTCAAATCCTGGGAGCTCTACTTCTGATCCACCTCTCTGCTATGGCCTGGGAAAACAGTAGAAGATGGCCCAAGTCCTTGGGCCCCTCTACACATGTGGGACACCTGGAAGAAGCCTCTGGCTTCTGGCATTGAATCAGTAGAGCTCCAGCCTTAGGAGTCAATTGGAGAGTGAACCAGTGGATGGAATTTCCCTGCCTTTCCTTCTCTCTCTCTGTAACTCAGACTTTTCAATATATGAATAAATCTCTAAATGAAGGAAAAACAAAACGAAAGCTGTGGCTGAACTTAAGGGATGGGGCCCAGGATCAATGAGCCCAGGAAGGGAGGAGACAGGAAGGGTCATTCTTGCTGTGGTAGCAACCACTTCTCACCTCCTCTCTGGGCTGAAATTGGCCGGATCACTCCTCACACACACCAGCAGTCCACACTCTACACATTCACACCTGTCCCTTAGGGAAATCTACACTCACAGCTCAGCCAGAAAGCACACATCTGGCATCGAAGCTCGCAGGCCATGAAGAACAGAGGAAGAAACTCATCGCTCCACAATAACCAAGGATAACCATATCTCTAGGATGTCACTGATGCCCGGGTGATCTGATTGTCAACATGCAGAGATTGTCCTCCTTGCCGCTCTTCCATTCAGATCTGGAAAGGGAAAGCAAAGAGACGATTTGCAGGGGAAACAAGCTAAGTTAGAGTCCCATTTTACAAAAAGGGATTAATTGATTTATATCTTTTAACCCACATGTACAAGCATATCACAGTCACTCCCAGCCATGCCACAAGACAAAAGCTGAACACCTGAAGTCACCAACTCGTCTTATATCCTACAGAAAAGTGAGGTCACTGACAAAACATGCCTCCAGAAATTGCCTTGACTGTCAGATGCAGAGAATCCCAGCTTAACTGAGCACAGGCCTCTGCTGGGGCTCAAATGTAGGTAGGGAACACAGACTGTAATAGGTCAACTGCTGGGGGCACAATGTGCACATGCTAGAGAGGAGAAAACTCCGGGGGGGGGCAATCTTGCTAAAATAAGGGCTAACAAAGTTTTTAAAAAACTTATTTTCATTTAATTATTAGGAGAGCTGCAATAAGAGATGGAAACAGCCATACTCAGATCTTCTTCCTATGGCCCACTTCCCACATGCCTGGAATGCTGTCATCTTCCTTCTTGCTCTCTCTCACAGAAATCAAACCCCAAACCATGCTGCATAACCTGGAAATCTCTAGGAAATACCTAGTCCCACATACATGCCAGGGCAGGTGCATCCATCAATCTGTGGCCTGGACTTCTCAAGACATCAATCTCATCATAATCAAGTCAGGTCTAAGGAGATAGGCATTGCAGTACAATAGATTTGCCATCTGCTTGGGATGCCCCCATTCCATATTGGATTTCCTGAGATAGAGTCCCACCATTGCTTCTGATCCAGCTTCCTGCACACGTGCACCCTGGGAGGGCCCAGGTGATGACCTCAGTGCTTGGGTTCCTGTCATTCATGTGGGAGCACAGGATGGAGTTTCTGGCTTCAGTCAGGCCCAGTCCCACCTTTGTATTTGTATTAGCAGATAGAAGGTCTTGAGATCTCTCTCTCTCTCTCTCTCTCTCTCTCTCTCTCTGGTGTGTGTGTGTGAGAGAGAGAGAGAGAGAGAGGTGTGCATGTGAGTGGGTGTGTGTACAGTTCAAAGTAGGAAATGGATTCTATAAGAAAAACATGAAGAGTCCTGAGACTAAATTCTGGATGTAGTGTTGGTACAGAAAACAGACGTGGGTACAGCTAAGGAATTTGAATAAACTGTGGCCTTTAGTGAATAATAAAGCATCAGTATAGGTCACTGATGGCAATGAACACACCACACTAAGGAAAGATGTCTATACGAGCTACTTCCAGCAGTTCCTTTATGAAGGGACTTCAAAAGGTCATGGAAAATGCATATTATGAGTAACTGACACATGGACTTAAATTCTTTCTGCAACAAGGTAATTCAGCTTTTCCCTCATTTCCTCTCCCCAAGGAGTCTGAAGTTTTCTCACCTGGTTTTACATTTTGATCTTTTGCTTGACACTGGGATGCCCATTCACCAAACCACCTTCAGGGCAAATATCTATCAAGACCGAGGCTGGACCTCTCAGGGCACTCCCTGAATTCCTTGTCACTGCACATGCATCCCACTCACAGGAATTACTACTGTGCTCAGAGGATTCAACCTTCTCTCCTCATACTCCCTATTTTCTAGTCCCTGGAATAAAGACCTAAGGACTGAATGCTTTAAGCCTCGGACAACCGCACTGAATGATCCTGGGTACAGACATGGTGACATGTCAAAAACAAAGCACCACCCAGAAAAGCAAGGGCCTGGCTTCACCAGCAAGACACAGGGAGGTCTTAGCTCAGCCCTAAGCACTCGATTCTGTCCATCATCTAGAACAGGTTCGCAACCTCTGCACATTTGTCCAAACTCACCTCTACCAGGGCCAACCACTGCTCTCCAGAGCACACAGGAAACAACCTGACAGCAGACAAGGGCCACACCTCAAGGCAGCTGTCATTCCTCAGCAGCTCCTTTATGTCAAGGCTTTGCCGGCAACACCACATTCAGTTCCTCCTCCCTCCAACCTCACTGACAGGAGGGTGCAGTTACAAGTTCAGCTGAAAGCTAAGAGTATGGATTGCAGACCCCCACCATGAGAGAGGTACTTGATGGGTCTGGGCCTCAGTGTCCAACATGTCAACTGGGGCTACTAACAGTCTCTGCAGTACAAACAGCTGCTGCCTGAGCTCTGCTGCTCCCATTGCTATTCCCATCCCATCCCCATTTGAAACAGGAAGGAAGGAGAGGCTCCTAAGATCCCAGCTCATGGCTTCAGATCAGCCCAGCTCTCACAAGTTTAACCATTTGAGAGGGAATCAATGGATGGAGCATCTCCAGTAGATGGAGTATCTCGAAAACAACCCCCCACCCCTTAATATTACTGTGCCTCTCAGATAAATAAATAAAATCTTTAGAAAGAGATCAAGATGCATCTTTTCTGTAGGTTCACCATGCAAATATCCACATCAGCCTGGTTGAAGCCAAGCCACAGCCAGCAGACAGGAAGGCACTCTGGGTCTCTTACCTGAATCACAGGCAACCAACAGCACCCAGTATCACCTGCTGCCTCCCAGGGTGCACATTAGAAGAAATTAATCAGAAGTAGGACAGGAACTCAACCTCAGGCACTCTGACAAGGGATGTGCATGTCCCAAGCAGCATCGGGTGCTGTGCTGAAAACCTGCCTCTTCCAATATCTGTGAAGGTGACCGATTTTTTCTTCAGTAAAGAAGTGTAAGCTGGCGCCACGGCTCACTAGGCTAATCTTCCACCTTGCTGTGCCGGCACACCGGGTTCTAGTCCCGGGCGGGGCACCGGATTCTGTCCCGTTGCCCCTCTTCCAGGCCATCTCTCTGCTGTGGCCAGGGAGTGCAGTGGAGGATGGCCCAAGTGCTTGGGCCCTGCACCCCATGGGAGACCAGGATAAGCACCTGGCTCCTGCCATCGGATCAGTGCGGTGTGTCTGCCGCAGCGCGCCGGCCGCAGCAGCCATTGGAGTGTGAACCAACAGCAAAAGGAACACCATTCTCTCTGTCTCACTCTCACTGTCCACTCTGCCTGTCATAAAAAAAGATTTATTAAAAAAAGAAGTGGAAGAACTGAGCTGGCACTGTGGCATAGTGAGGAAAGCTGCCACATGTGGTGCTGGCATCCCTACGGGCACTGGTTCAACATCTGGCTGCTCTATTTCCAATGCAGCTCCCTGCTATTGCACCTGGGAAGGCAGCAGATGACAGTTCTGGTACTCGGGCCCCTTACCCACATGGGAGACATGGAAGAAGCTCCTGGCTTCAGAAAGGCACAATTCCAGCCATTGTGGCCATTTCAGGAGTGAACCAGTGGATGGGAGACTGGATTCTCTCTCTCATTCTCTAACTCTGCCTTTCAAATAAATACATAAATAGATCTACCTATCTTTTAAAAAATACAAACTGGAAGACTCCATGGATGTGGCCAAATTGCCAAGATCCTTAGTTATTGAGGGAAAGAACTAAGTGTTTGTTTTATCACAAAAATGTCTGGAACTTTAACTACCTTCTATTGACAAAGTATATATTTCAGGTGTATTTTAAATCCCACTGTCCTTGAATTCTAAATTTCCTCATATCACCAGCAGTGGAATTGCTAGGGGACATAACTACTCTATTATTCAGAGGACAATACTACGCACATTTATCCACCTGTTTTTGTGCTACTTAGAACTATTCTTGCTGTGTGCATGGTTGTCAATACAAATGTCTCTCCTTCCTCTAACTACCTTCTTAGTATGCCATTTCCTACATGGATCTTCTTTTTCTAGCACTGTATTACTGAGCTGATGTATTTCATACAGCAACACACACACACACACACACACACACACACACATGTGCATGTAAAGCCGGTGAAATCCTGATGAGGCTGAGGGATTTTTAGGGTCAATTTCTACAGAATCACCTGTGTGTTTCTGAAAACAAAGGAGCAGCCAAAGAGAGCAGAACACTCACCAACTCATCTAGCCTATAGAGCTGTCCAAAGCTGATGGAACCTCTGAAGAGAGCAATGAAGACAGAGATCAAAGACATCTCCACTGGTCGTGGAAGGCACTGGAGAAAGGCAGAATGGGAGAAGCCATGACTCAACCCCATGGGCCAGTGACCCCTGTCCTGCCCCTCCCAGCCCCTTCTCTCCCCCTCCTCCACCTCCTTTGCTCTCCTCAAGATCTTGCACAGGACGTGGCTGCTTAGGTTCTTCACTGTGCCCTCAGCCTCACTGCTGCTCTCATCCACTTCAGCCTCTGCACTTCCAAGTTAGGCTGGGACCATGACGTCTCAACATGGCACCCATGTCCTCTGTCATTGTCTGAGGGAGTCCACAGCCCTTTAGCAGCTCCACACACACCTAAATATCTTCATCACCTGAGCGCTCTGGCCCTTCACTCTGAGAGAGAATTTACAGCATATTCTGACAGTCACAAGCTCCCAAGGGTAGTCAGTTATGTGCTATAATCCTTACAATTGCCACAAAAAGGAGAAGTAGATGACTGTATAGTAAACAGCAGCTAAAAGCCCTCCAATTCTGCCCTCCAATAAATCAGTGAGAAACCTGCCAAAAACAGTCACCATTAACATTTGTAAGTTTTTTAATCTTTTGATTCAGTGGGAGAAATGCATAGGAGAGTGAGGGCCCTATCTAAAAAAGACAGAGAAATCTGGATTCATACCGAACACCACTAGCCACCATGTGGAGGAGTATGCAGGCCAGGAAGCATGGAGCAGGTGGCCTGAAGACCACACACCCAAAGGTGCAGGGGCAGCAAGCCCATCCAGCACAAAAGGGAAAAGGGCCAAAAGGCCATTAACATTTCAAGAATCCTGGAAACTAACCCAACATCTGCAGGAACCCAGGCAGTACCTGAGCACAGAAAAACAAAGCACAGCTGACTCTCAGGAAGAACAGGGGGTTGGTGGCAGTCTCCCTGTCCTGAGTACAACCTGCTGCTCTGCAGTTCCACAGGAACACAGAAAACGGAAGCCCACGTTCATGGTGAAAACCAGCAGTGGGCAGCCACTGCCGGGAGCACAATCAGTCTGTGGCTTCCCCAAAGCCTTATTCATAGAGAATGAGCACTCTCTGAGGAGTCCTGCTGCCTTCGGGAAGAACCCACTTTCTAGGCTGAACTTGACCTGACCTTGAGCTTGTCCAAGGTGATAAGAACAATGGTCCCCAGGGGGGCGGAGCCAAGATGGCGGAATAGTAAGGGCGCGCACCGATAGTCCGGGAAAATTTAGTTTAATAAAAGGGGAGTTACGGTAGCCTCAGAAAAAGAACCAGGAAAATATTGCAGAGTAAACTCTTCTGGATTGAGTGGCTGTGAATCGGAGGACCTACTGGGAGAACAAGGTCGCCCACCGCGTGGAAGCCGAACCGCGGGTGCCGTGGAAGCCGCAGGGTCTGCGCGCCAGTGCGGGAAGGAGAGTGCATGAAAAAAACACAGACAACAGCGGGGAGAGTTCCGATGTCCAGGGCTTGGAGTCCACACATCAAGCTGGAAGGGGAGGTGAGCTCAATAACCCGAGACATTCGTGGGGAAACGGGGGTCAGAATCTAGAGGGGGGCCGGAAAGTGCAGCAAACTCACTACCTGAAAGAAGGAAAAAAAAAAAGAGCTTGGGGGTTTCTCTCTCAAGGCTTGAAGAATTCCCAAGAGACAAAGAGCAGGCCCTGTCTCTGGATTTACATATCAACAGCGGAGAGCTAAGGAACTGAATCACTACAATTTAGTAGCCTAGGCAACCCAGTGGGAGTCCAGAGGAGCCTAAACAGACTGTGGGGAGAAGCAGTGCCGTGCAGTGTTACTTACCCCCTGAATAAAATACATAAATAAATAAATAAATAAATAAATAGAGAGAGATTTACCATGCATAACCTGAGGGTGTCACTTTTGGACACCCTTAACCAGGAAGAACCAAGCAGAGCTCTCAGGCCGCACCCATCTCAAGCCTCCAAGGCTCCTCCAACAGCAGGCAGTCCACTTAACACGGACATAGTATAAAATAAAATAAAAATTTAAAAAAAAACGCACAGTGACGAAACAAGAATTAACTATGCCAAGCAACAAACACAGAAATCGAGGGAACAAGATCAATGATGACACTATGATGCCTCCAAATAACAAAACACCCCAAACCAAGATTATGAAGATGATGAGATAGAAGAATGCAAGATACGGATTTCAAAAAATTTATAAGAACAATTAGAAGTTTTCAAAAGCAAATCCTTGAACTACAGAAATCCTTATTGGACAGGATTGAAAATCTCTCTCGTGAAAATGAAATTTTAAGGAAGAATCAAAATGAAATGCAGAAACTAGTAGAACAGGAAAGTGTGATACTGAAGAGAAATCAAAATGAAATGAAGAGCTCAATAGATCAAATGACAAACACATTAGAAAGCCTTAAAAACAGAATGGGTGAAGCAGAAGAGAGAATATCGGACTTAGAAGACAGAGAACGGGAAAGGATACAGTCAACCCAAAGAAAAGAAGAGGAAATCAGAAATCTAAAAAATATTGTTGGGAATCTACAGGATACTATTAAAAAAACCAACATTCGAGTTCTAGGAGTTCTGAAGGCATGGAGAGAGAGAAAGGATTAGAAGGCCTTTTTAGTGAGATACTAGCAGAGAACTTTCCAGGTTTGGAGAAGGACAGAGACATCCTAGTACAGGAAGCTCATAGAAGCCCCAATAAACATGACCAAAAGAGATCCTCGCCATGACACGTGGTAATTAAACTTACTACAGTGAAACATAAAGCAAAGATCCTAAAATGTGCAAGAGAGAAACATCAGATTACTCTCAGAGGATCTCCAATCAGATCCACAGCAGACTTCTCAGCAGAAACCCTATAGGCTAGGAGGGAATGGCGAGACATAGCACAGGTGCTAAGAGAGAAAAATTGCCAGCCCAGAATATTATATCCTGCCAAGCTCTCACTTGTGAATGAAGGTGAAATAAAGACCTTTCATAGCAAACAGAAATTGAAAGACTTTGTGGCCACTTGTCTGGCCCTGCAAAAGATACTTAAAGATGTGCTACAATCAGAAACACAGAAACACAGCCATCAATATGAAAGAAGGGAAAGGAAGAACACCCACCAGTAAAAGAGCATGGGAAGCTCAAAGCATATACTAGAAAATATCTCCGGGAAAATGGCAGGGCAAAGTCACTACCTATCAATAGTCACATTGAACATTAATGGTCTGAATTCTTCAGTTAAAAGACACCGTTTGGCTGACTGGCTCACAGAACACAACCCAACTATTTGTTGCCTACAAGAAACACATCTCTCTAACAAAGAGGCATGCAGACTGAAAGTGAAAGGTTGGAAAAAGATATTCCATGCCAACAGAAACCAAAAAAAGCAGGTGTAGCCATATTAATATCAGACAAAATAAACTTTAATACAAAAACTGTTAAGAGAGACAAAGAGGGGCACTATATAATGATTAAGGGTTCAATTCAACAGGAAGATGTAACTATTATAAATGAATATGCACCTAATTACAGGGCACCGGTCTATTTAAAAGATATGTTAAGGGACGTAAAGGGAGATTTAGATTCCAATACAATAGTACTGGGGGACTTCAATACTCCACTCTCAGAAATAGACAGATCATCCGGACAGAAGATCAACAAGGAAACAGCAGATTTAATCGACACTATTGCCCAAATGGATCTAACAGATATCTACAGAACATTCAACCCTACATTAAAGACTTCACATTCTTCTCAACAGCGCATGGAACCTTCTCTAGGATTGATCACATACTAGGCCATAAAGCAAGTCTCAGCAAATTTAAAAGAATTAGAAACATACCATGCAGCTTCTCAGACCACAGTGGAATGAAGCTGGAAATTAGCAACTCAGGAAACCTCAGAAAGTATGCAAACACATGGAGACTGAACAACATGCTCCTGAATGAACACTGGGTCATTCAAGAAATCAAAAGAGAAATCAGAAACTTTCTGGAAGTAAATGAAGACAACAACACAACATATCAAACCTTATGGGATACAGCAAAAGCAGTATTGAGAGGCAAATTTATAGCAATAGGTGCCTATATCAAGAAATTGGAAAGGTACCAAATAAATGAGCTTTCAGCGCATCTCAAGGACCTAGAAAAACTGCAGCAAACCAACCCAAATCTAGTAGGAGAAGAGAAATAATTAAAACCAGAGAAGAAATTAACAGGATTGAATCCAAAAAAAAAAAACACTACAAAAAATCAGCCAAGCGAGAAGCTGATTTTTTGAAAAAATAAACAAAATTGACACCCCATTGGCCCAACTAACTAAAAAAAGAAAAGACCCAAATCATTAAAATCAGAGATGAAAAAGGAAACGTAACAACAGACACCACAGAAATAAAAAGAATCATCAGAAATTACTACAAGGATTTGTATGCCAGCAAACAGGAAAACCTATCAGAAATGGATAGATTCGTGGACACATGCAATCTACCTAAATTGAACCATGAAGACATAGAAAACCTAAATAGACCCATAACTGAGACAGAAATTGAAACAGTAATAAGGGACCTCCCAACAAAGAAAAGCCCAGGACCCGATGGATTCACTGCTGAATTCTACCAGACATTTAAAGAAGAACTAATCCCATTTCTTCTCAAACTATTCAGAACAATCGAGAAAGAGGGAATCCTCCCAAATTCTTTCTATGAAGCCAGCATCACCTTAATCCCTAAGCCAGAGAAAGATGCAGCACTGAAAGAAAATTACAGACCAATATCCCTGATGAACATAGACGCAAAAATCCTCAATAAAATTCTGGCCAATAGAGTACAACAATACATCAGGAAAATCATCCACCCAGACCAAGTGGGATTTATCCCTGGTATGCAGGGATGGTTCAACATTCGCACATCAATCAATGTGATTCACCACATTAACAGACTGCAAAAGAAAAAACCATATGATTATCTCAATTGATGCAGAGAAAGCATTTGATAAAATTCAACACCCTTTCATGATGAAAACTCTAAGCAAATTGGGTATAGAAGGAACATTCCTCAATATAATCAAAGCAATTTATAAAAAACCCACAGCCAGCATCCTATTGAATGGGGAAAAGTTGGAAGCATTTCCACTGAAATCTGGCACCAGGCAGGGATGCCCACTCTCATCACTGCTATTGAACATAGTTCTGGAAGTTTTAGCCAGAGCCATCAGACAAGAAAAAGAAATCAAAGGAATACAAATTGAGAAGGAAGAAGTCAAACTATCCCTCTTTGCAGACGATATGATTCTGTACTTAGAGGATCCAAAGAACTCCACTAAGAGACTATTGGAACTCATAGAGGAGTTTGGCAAAGTGGCAGGATACAAAATCAATGCACAAAAATCAACAGCCTTTGTATACACAAGCAATGCCATGACTGAGAAAGAACTGCTAAGATCAATCCCATTCACAATAGCTACAAAAACAATCCAATACCTTGGAATAAACTTAACCAAGGACGTTAAAGATCTCTACGATGAGAATTACAAAATCTTAAAGAAAGAAATAGAAGAGGGTACCAAAAAATGGAAAAATCTTCCATGCTCATGGATTGGTAAAATCAACATCATCAAAATGTCCATTCTCCCAAAAGCAATTTATAGATTCAATGCAATCCCAATCAGGATACCAAAGACATTCTTCACAGATCTAGAAAAAATGATGCTGAAATTCATATGGAGGCACAAGAGACCTCAAATAGCTAAAGCAATCTTGTACAACAAAAACAAAGCCGGAGGCATCAAAAATCCAGATTTCAGGACATACTACAGGGCAGTTGTAATCAAAACAGCATGGTATTGTTACAGAAACAGATGGATAGACCAATGGAACACAATTGAAACACCAGAAATCAACCCAAACATCTACAGCCAACTTATATTTGACCAAGGTTCTAAAACCAATTCCTGGAGCAAAGACAGTCTATTCAATAAATGGTGCTGGGAAAACTGGATTTCCACATGCAGAAGCATGAAGCAAGACCCCTACCTTACACCTTACACAAAAATCCACTCAACGTGGATTAAAGACCTAAATCTACATCCTGACACGATTAAGTTATTAGAGAACATTGGAGAAACCCTTCAAGATATTGGCACAGGCAAAGAATTTCTGGAAAAGACCCAGGAGGCACAGGCAGTCAAAGCCAAAATCAACTATTGGGATTGCATCAAGTTGAGCAGTTTCTGTACTGCAAAAGAAACAGTCAGGAGAGTGAAGAGACAACTGACAGAATGGGAAAAAATATTTGCAAACTATGCAATAGATAAAGGGTTAATAACCAGAATCTACAAAGAGATCAAGAAACCCCACAACAACAAAACCAACAACCCACTTAAGAGATGGGCCAAGGACATCAATAGACATTTTTCGAAAGAGGAAATCCAAATGGCCAACAGACACATGAAAAAATGCTCAAGGTCATTAGCAATCAGGGAAATGCAAGTCAAAACCACAATGAGGTTTCACCTCACCCCGGTTAGAATGGCTCACATTCAGAAATCTACCAACAACAGATGCTGGCGAGGATGTGGGGAAAAAGGGACACTAACCCACTGTTGGTGGGAATGCAAACTGGTCAAGCCACTATGGAAGTCAGTCTGGAGATTCCTCAGAAACCTGAAGATAACCCTACCGTTCGACCCAGCCATCCCACTCCTTGGAATTTACCCAAAGGAATTTAAATTGGCAAACAAAAAAGCGGTCTGCACCCTAATGTTTATTGCAGCACAATTCACAATAGCCAAGACCTGGAACCAACCTAAATGCCCATCAACGGTAGACTGGATAAAGAAATTATGGGATATGTACTCTTTAGAATACTATACCGCAGTAAGAAACAATGAAATCCAGTCATTTGCAACAAAATGGAGGAATCTGGAACACATCATGCTGAGTGAAATAAGCCAGTCCCAAAGGGACAAATACCATATGTTCTCCCTGATCGGTGACAACTGACTGAACACCAAAAAGGAAACCTGTTGAAGTGAAATGGACACTATGAGAAATGGTCACTTGATCAGCATAGCCCTGACTGTTAATGAACAACTTAATACATTATCCCTCTTAGTATTTTTTTTGTCTGTTCTACTTAATATGACTGGTTTAATTCTGTAATTATCACACAGTTATTCTTAAGTGTTGAAAATTAACTGAAATGTGATCCCTGTTAAACATAAGAGTGGGAATAAGAGAGGGAAGAGAGGTATAATTTGGGACATGCTCAAGCTGACTTGCCCCAAATGGTAGAGTTAGAAACATACCAGGGGATTCCAATTCAATCCCATCAAGGTGGCATGTACCAATGCCATCTCACTATTCCAAGTGATCAATTTCAGTTCACAATTGATCATAATGAAAGGACTAAGAGTCAAAGGGATCACATAAACAAGTCTAGTGCCTGCTAACAATAACCAATAGAATAAATAAAGGGGAGAGTGATCCAACATGAGAAGTGAGATACTCAGCAGACTCATAGAATGGCAGATGTCCTAAATAGCACTCTGGCCTCAGAATCAACCCTAAAGGCATTCCGATCTGGCTGAAAAGCCCATGAGAGTATTTCAGGCATGGAAAGCCAAGACACTGACAAAAAGATCTCTGTGAGTGAGATCCCAGTGGAAACAACAGGTCTTCAAAGAAGGAGGTACCTTCCTCTGAAGGGAGGAGAGAACCTCCACTTTGACTATGACCTTGTCTAAACAAGATAAGAGTCGGAGAACTCAGAGGGCTTCCATAGCCTTGGAAACTCATGACTGGAGCATAGGGAGATTACTGATGCCATAGACAGGAGTGTCAATTTGTAAAGTCAACTACAGGAGTCACGGTGCACTTACTCCTCATGTAGGATCTCTGTCCTTAATGTGCTGTACATTGGGATTTAATGCTATAACGAGTACTCAAACAATATATTTCACTTTGTGTTTCTATGGGGTGCAGACTGTTGAAATCTTTACTTAATGCATACTAAACTGATCTTCTGTAAAAAAAAAATATCAATTCCCAACTTGACTCTCACTGGGATTAAACATGACAATAGGTCTGATCTGATTTCATCATCATTTAAAAAAATCATCTATTATTTTTCACTTTATGTTTCTGTGTGGGAGCAAACTGTTGAAATCCTTACTTAATGTGTGCTAGGCTGATCTTCTCTATGTTAAGATAATTGAAAATGGATCTTGATGTGAATGGAAGGGGAGAGGGAGTGGGAGGGGGGAGGGTTGTGGGTGGGAGGGACGGTATGAGGGGGAAGCCATTGTAATCCATAAGTCGTACTTTGGAAATTCATATTCATTAAATAAAAGTTAAAAAAAAAACAATGGTCCCCAGCAAAACTCTCAAAACTATCACAGCCACTGCTTAACTTTGTGGATACTCTAAGTAGTTGACAACTCCCTTAGATAAAGGACAAACTAACCCAACAATATTGCAGCAGAGCTAAGTCATGATTGTCTGTAGGGGACTCAGGAAGCTCTGGCACACTCCTGGGAATCTAGAAATGCACAGGTGCACCCTTCTCTAATGAGAGAGGCTCGAGGTGCTGGACTTCTCACATACACAAACCTCTTGCTCCTCCTGGGGTACTAGAATCTACCCATGTACTGGGAAGAAGGCACCAATGAACACCCTAGGCAATCAGACTCTGGGACCTTGTCTGGCAAATGTCACTCTTGTTGTCACAACTTGTTCTGAGTCCAGGGGGGCCTCCACAGGAAGCACTGACCCTGGGAGTGCTCAGGATCAGGATCTCCCAACACAAGCAGAATCACCAAGAAAAACTGCAGCCAGCTGACACTACCTCTGAGGAAGTACAGACATGGAACTCACTAGGCCCAGAGCACTCGGCATTCACACTATACTCAAATTAGTGAAGGAATCTATGTGTTAAGCACTACAAACATCAACAGAAGTATTTCACAGGATAGGAAATAACAGTAAGGGAATATATCTTATGAGAGGAGTGACTCAAGTTTCTGGAATTCAAAAGAACAACTGAGAACTCCCTGCAGGGGCCTGTACCAGCTTCCTCGAGTCACCATAGCTCCTTACTGCCATCTGCCTGGCTTTAAAGCAGGAAGGTTGCTCACAGTTCTGGAGGGCAGGGCCTGATGTCAGAGGCCTGCTGCTCCCTGCTCTATCTGAAGGCTCCAGCATACGGTCCTCCACGGCCTGTTTCTAGTTTCTGGCGCTTGCCTCCACCCTTGGGTTGTTGCTTTGCAGTTGAAACTTCCCAGCCTCTGCCTGTGCCATCAGAGTCTTCTTCCTTCCACATCCACATTCGCCTGGAATGGAAGGACAACAGCAATGGATCAGGGCCCACTCTGACACAGGATGAGCTCATCATCCCTGACTCTACCTGTGAACACCTTATTTCCACAGAAAGCCTCCCACACAGACATTGAGCCCTAAGGCTTAAACGTTGGAGGACAAACTCCTCATACAATAGGCCTTTGAACAGGCAAAAGAAACACCAAACCTGTGGATCAGACCCTGCAGATGGCCCAGTCCAGTGAATAATAATAAGCAAACAATAGTTTCACAGACCTGTGGGACACCATCAAGCATAACACATATGCATAAAGAGTCCAGAGAGACAGGGATATGAGAGAGACAGGGGCAGCAAGAATATATGAATTGTGTCCCCAAATTGCCTAAACATTTTGAACAAGAATAATCAAAACATGCATGGGTGTTTGGCCTAGTCATAAAGCAAACAGGACATCAATATCCAACAAAGAAATGGTTCAATTTGATTCCCTAGCTCTGTCTCCTGTTTCCAGCTTCCTGCTCCTATGAATATTGGGAGGCAGCAGTGAGGGTCCAAGTCGTTGGGCTCATTCCACACATGGGGAAAACTTGGATTGGGAACCCAGTTCCCAGCTGTGATCTTACAGTTGTAGAAAGTACTTCAGAGGAGTCAATCAGCAGCTGGAATATCTCTCATGCCTCTATCGCTGACACATCATAGGATGCAAAAATATACATGGAGTTCAATGAACTGCACTAGTAGAAATTCACATCCTAGTAAGTTGGAAGGCAAAGACAAAGACATGCAAGGGCCTCCAGAATGAATTGTCATGCACAAAGTATCTCTGAGAAGATGAACACTGGTATGGCTGTAATCCTTTTTAAGAAGTACTGCTAATAATGTTGTGGGATTTAAACTTCACACTTTATTCTAAAAATCCCATACAAGTTTTTTTTTATTTGTTTTATTTATTTGACAGGTAGAGTTACAGAATTTAAGAGAGAGACAGAGAGAAAGGTCTTCCTTTCATTGGTGATCTCTCCAAATGGCCAATGCAGCAGGAACTGTGCCTATCCAAAGCCAGGAGTCAGGTTATTCTTCCTGGTCTCCCACACAGGTGCAGAGGCCCAAGCACTTGAGCCATCCTCCACTGCCTTCCTGGGCCACAGCAGAGAGCTGGACTGGAAGAGCAGCAGCCAGGAATAGAACCGGTGCCCATATTGTATGCCGGCACCACAGGTTGGAAGATTAACCAAGTGAGCCACGGTGCCGGCCCCTCCCTTAAAAGTTTGACACTTCCTCAGAAAAGTTCAGAGTGTCAGTATACATAGTAGCCAAATGTGTAAGTTACCCATTTACCCAGTATGTGATAAATGAAAAGTATTAATATGTTGCATTCACACCGTAGATATTACTCAGCCATAAAAGGATCAGGTGTGGATATATGCTATAATATGGATGAACCTTGGATATATTTTGCTTATTGAAAGAAAACAGACATAAAAGTGACACTCTATCTCCATGAAATGGCCAGAAGTGAAAATAAATCCACAGAGACAGGAGGTAGATAAGGGTTACCAAGGCAAGGCAGGGGGAGAGAATGAGGTTCTCTGGCAAGGAGTATGGTGTTTCCCTTTGAGATGATGAGAAAAGTACTGAAATGACAAGACAGGAAACCCTGAATATACCAAAACCCAGTGAACAGTATGCTTTGTTTATTTTTAAAGATTTATATACTTGAAAGGCAGAGTGACAGAGAGAGGGGGAGAATGATAGGGAGATCTATCCACTGGTTCAGTCCCCTCAGATGACTGTAAGAGCCAGGACTGGGCCAGCCTGAAACCACAAGGCAGGAGCTTCCTCCAGATCTTTCATGTGGCTGGCAGGAGACCAAGCACATGGGCCATCTCCCACTGTTTCCCCAGAAGCATTGGCATGGAGCTGGATCAGAAGTGGAGCAGCAGGACTAGAATCAGCACCCATATGGGATGCCTACATTGCAGGTGGTGGCTGAACCTCTTATGCCACTATGCCAGCCTCTATACTATACACTCTAAATGTGTCAATTTATCACGTGAGAATTCTATTTTGGTAAAAAGAACATGAATTAAGATGTCTGTACAGTATGCCTCTGAAGATGGTAGGCTGAATACAGACCACAGTCATCACTCCTGAGTCACCTTAACAATTCAGTTCTCACAGTGACTTCAGTGGTAAAAGGTCATAGGAGGTGATACTGGAAGCTTAATCCTGGTCTCCTGTCAGAGCCCACTCTGGTGCTGCTCGGTGACTATGGGGCCAGTGATGAGTTTTCCGCCTCAAAGATCAATCCCCATGTGGATCTTTTAACTCAGTGACCTCCAAAGACATGTGCCCCAATTGGCATATTCAATAACCTTGGAAAATATTCAGAAACAGTTGTATCTATACAGAACATGTAGAGGTCTTTCTTGTCATTATTCCTTAAACTACATATTCCTTTTCAGTGCCTTTACATTGTATTAGGCAGTACAATTTGTAATGATTTATTGGCACAGGGATGGCTTAAGTCACATGCAAGATGTGCATAGTTATTTCCAATCCCATGGGCACTTTATAGAAGGGACTTGAATACCTGTGTGTTTTGGTTACTGCTGGTGCTATGGGTGTGGTCCTGGAACAAATGAACAAAAGGCTGTTGAGGGGCAAATGAGTTGTCTTTTTGTTGCTGTTCTTCGTATTCCTGTAGGAAGATAAAGGAAATGCATTCACTCAAGAATGGTGTTGCCATCTTCTTGGCAAAATAAGAAATGATTTCTTCCCAGGCCCAATCATGGATCTCTTTACTGTGGGCTGCCTGGAGGAGCCACCTGGGTCAGAGCAGGAATGAGTAAGTTCTCGCAGTTGGGTGTGCCGTGAAATAAGAGAACGGTTGCTGTATTTCCATGAGATGATGGAGAAAGTCAGCATCAGGCACTGAACCAGAGAATGGGGACAGCTTCCTGATGCCTGATGACAATGTTGCGTGTACCTGAGGATGTTCCTCAGCTGCTCTGTTGTTCAGTTCCCTGCCTGTGGTGTGGAAATGTTAATGGAACCTGTGTTAGGATGACTGTGAGGTTAAAACTAAGTAAACCCGAATCCTGAAGAAAATAGCTGCTATTTCCTAAGCACCACTGATGTAAGCATTACTTCCCAAGTCTGTGGAAGAGTAAGACCTACTGCCAATATAAACACTCTAATTCCCAAATGGTTCAACCCTGTATTTTTGACTCCCCAAATTCTGTCCTTGACTCCTTCAGCCCTCCCACCACTACTAGACAAAGTCTCTTTTGTGCACCATTCTGCACAAGTGAGGAAATACAAAACACAGGGCCCTTCCATTCTTGACGAAAGCCCCCTTGGTCAAGCCTGAAAATCAGATCACTAGAGGTCTCTCCTTGCCACCTGATTTATTTCCTCACATGTGACATGGTCATAATAATAATATCAACCTCAGAGAGATTCTACAATACTTAACTCCATTTGTGGTGGTTGTGACAAAAAATATTGTTGGCTTTTTTATCCATCCTTTAAATGTGAAACAATTCATGTGCAAAAGTAACATAGTTGAAGCTCCTGTTATATCTCCAACCAGCTGACATGTTTCCTGTTCCCAACTAATGTTTCTTCAGTCAGTGCTTCTCCATGCCTGTCCCTGCCCTAGCTGCTCTGTGGGATGACTTATGTATAACTGAACACTCTCCTCGACCACCTCAAGGCTAACACATTGGAGAAACAAAGTGATGTGTCCATCGGGGTTGTGAGCTTGCAAGGATCAACCCAATAGTTGATTCAAATGGAGAATGAATGATGCTGGGGAAGGCCCATGCTGCAGAGTCAATTCTGTGTTGACTTGAAGTTGTCAGGATTTACTATTTCTTTTTTTTCTTTTTTTTTTTTTTATCTTTTATTTAATGAATATAAATTTCCAAAGTACGTCTCATGGGTTACAATGGCTTTCCCCCCCATACCGTCCCTCCCACCCACCACCCTCCCCTTTCCCACTCCCTCTCCCCTTCCATTCACATCAAGATTCATTTTCGATTATCTTAGTATACAGAAGATCAGCTTAGTATACCTTAAGTAAGGATTTCAACAGTTTGTTCCCACACAGAAACATAAAGTGAAAAATAATAGATGATTTTTTTTTTTAAATGATGATGAAATCAGATCAGACCTATTGTCATGTTTAATCCCAGTGAGAGTCAAGTTGGGAATTGATAGTTTCTTTTCTTTCTTTTTTTTTTTTTAACAGAAGATCAGTTTAGTGTACATTAAGTAAAGATTTCAACAGTTTGCACCCCCATAGACACACAAAGTGAAATATACTGTTTGAGTACTCGTTATAGCATTAAGCCTCAGTGTACAGCACATTAAGGACAGAGATCCTACATGAGGAGTAAGTGCACAGTGACTCCTGTTGTTGACTTTACAAATTGACACTCCTGTTTATGGCATCAGTAATCTCCCTATGCACCAGTCATGAGTTTCCAAGGCTATGGAAGCCCCTTGAGTTCTCCGACTCTTATCTTGTTTAGACAAGGTCATAGTCAAAGTGGAGGTTCTCTCCTCCCTTCAGAGAAAGGCACCTCCCTCTTTGAAGACCTGTTCTTTCCACTGGGATCTCACTCACAGAGATCTTTTTGCCAGAGTGTCTTGGCTTTCCATGCCTGAAATACTCTCATGGGCTTTTCAGCCAGATCCGAGTGCCTTTAGGGCTGATTCTGAGGCCAGAGTGCTATTTAGGACATCTGCCATTCTATGAGTCTGCTGAGTATCTCACTTCCCATGTTGGATCACTCTCCCCTTTATTTATTCTATCGGTTAGTGTTAGCAGATACTAGACTTGTTTATGTGCTCCCTTTGACTCTTAGTCTTTTCATTATGATCAATTGTGAACTGAAATTGATCACTTGGAATAGTGAGATGGCATTGGCACATGCCACCTTGATGGGATTGAATTGGAATCCCCTAGTATGTTTCCAACTCTACCAATTGGGGCAAGTCAGCCCGAGCATGCCCCAAATTATACATCTCTTCCCTCTCTTATTCCCACTCTTATGTTTAACAGGGATCACATTTCAGTTAATTTTCAACACTTAAGAATAACTGTGTGATAATTACAGAATTAAACCAGTCATATTAAGTAGAACAGACAAAAAAAAAATACTATGAGGGATAATGTATTAAGTTGTCCATTAGCAGTCAGGGCTATGCTGATCAAGTCACCGTTTCCCATAGTGTCCCTTTCACTTCAGGAGGTTTCCTTTTTGGTGTTCAGTCAGTTGTCACCGATCAGGGAGAACATATGGTATTTGTCCCTTTGGGACTGGCTTACTTCACTCAGCATGATGTGTTCCAGATTCCTCCATTTTGTTGCAAATGACTGGATTTCGTTGTTTCTTACTGCGGTATAGTATTCTAAAGAATACATATCCCATAATTTCTTTATCCAGTCTACCATTGATGGGCATTTAGGTTGGTTCCAGGTCTTGGCTATTGTGAATTGTGCTGCAATAAACATTAGGGTGCAGACCGCTTTTTTCTTTATCAATTTAAACTCCTTTGGGTAAATTCCAAGGAGTGGGATGGCTGGGTCGAACGGTAGGGTTATCTTCAGGTTTCTGAGGAATCTCCAGACTGATTTCCATAGTGGCTTGACCAGTTTGCATTCCCACCAACAGTGGGTTAGTGTCCCTTTTTCCCCACATCCTCGCCAGCATCTGTTGTTGGTAGATTTCTGAGGGGAGGCAAGATGGCGGAATAGGAAGGGAGCACACTGATAATCCGGGGAGAGATAGTTTAATAAAAGTGGAGATACTGCAGGTTCAAGGAAGAGTAGGGGAGGAAACAGCAGAAGAAACTCTTCTGGAACGCGTGATTCACAGTGGACCTGTGTGGAGAGCGTTTGAGCCCACAGTTCGGGACACCAGCAGCAGACTCAACACACCAGCACTGGAACGCGAGGTGAGCCGAACCTCAATAGCCCTGAGACACCGGCAGGCAAGCAGAGAGAGGAGACTAGAGGGAACGACCCCCAGGGAGGGGAAAAGCTCACCAGGCTAACTGGAAGAGAGAGAGAGAGAGAAAAAAAAGGTGACTGGTACGGACACGGGTTTCTCTCTCTCCGCTCACCTCTCAAGGGCGAGCAAGACAAAGAGTAGGCGCCATCTTGGACATACATCATAAGCAGAGCGACCTCAGGTCTGCACCGGCCCAGAGCCTAGCAGAAAAACCTGACTCTGGGCGGGGCGAATTAACAGGAGATTAGGACCTAGTAAATTTGTGGTGCTACTGAACTGAGACTGTGAAAAAAGAGACGGTGGGGGAGAGAACTCACGGAATTCACGTGAGCACTCTCCAGAGATGCTACAATTCCATAACTTTGGCAACCCAGTGGGAGACTGAAGGAGAATTTGAGCCCACTCTGAGGGCCGAACAGATTCCCTGTGTGGTCCTTGGGAAAGAGCTTCTGATCTCTGGCTCCTGTGGGTATATCATTTGCCTGCTAACTACCTCCAACTTCGTTCAGCTGTGCGGAATTACTTCCCTTTTGAATCAAAAAAAGAAAGAGAGAGAGAGAGAGATTTACCACGCCTAACCTGGGAGTGTTACCTTTGGCACACCAAACAGAGCTCTCAGCCCACACCCATCTCAAGCCTTAAGGCTCCATCAAAAACAGTCCACTTAATCTAGAGTCATAGTATAACAAGAAAAAGCACCACAGTGAAGAAACCAAATATCTCCAATATGCCAAATAACAAACGCAAAAACTGAGGTAATAAAAACAAGGAAGTCACCATGACGCCCTCAAATGAAAAAGACACCCCAATTCAAGATTATGAAGATGATGAGATAGAAGAAATGCAAGAAGCAGATCTCAAAAAATTGATAAGAACATTAAGAAGTTCTCAAAAACAAATTCTTGAACTACAGAAATCCTTAATGGACAAGATAGAAAATCTCTCTCGTGAAAATGAAATATTAAGGAGGAATCAAAATGAAACGAAACAACTAGTACAACAGGAAACTGTGATAGTGACGAGAAATCATAATGAAGTGAAGAATTCAATAGATCAAATGAAAAACACAATAGAGAGCCTTAAAAACAGAATGGGTGAAGCAGAAGAGAGAATATCAGACTTAGAAGACAGAGAACAGGAAAGGATACAGTCAGACCAAAGAAAAGAAGAGGAAATCAGAAATCTAAAACATATTGTCAGGAATCTTCAGGATACAATTAAAAAAACCAACATTCAGGTTCTAGGAGTTCCTGAAGGCATGGAGAGAGAGAAAGGATTAGAAGGCCTTTTTAGTGAGGTATTAGCAGAAAATTTCCCAGGTTTGGAGAAGGACAGAGAAATCCTAGTACAGGAAGCTCACAGAACCCCTAATAAACACGACCAAAAGAGATCCTCACCACGACACATTGTAATTAAACTCTCCACAGTGAAACATAAAGAAAAGATCCTAAAATGTGCAAGAGAGAAACGTCAGATTACTCTCAGAGGATCTCCAATCAGACTCACAGCTGACTTCTCATCAGAAACCCTACAAGCTAGGAGGGAATGGCGAGATATAGCCCAGGTACTAAGAGAGAACAACTGCCAGCCCAGAATATTATATCCTGCAAAGCTATCATTTGTGAATGAAGGTGAAATAAAGACTTTTCATAGCAAACAGAAATTGAAAGAATTGGTC